AGGAAATAATGTATTTTAAATAGTGATATGATAGGAAGTATGTGGTTAAAAAAAATAAGAAAAAATTATTAATGTGATAAAAAATATTGTTTTATTAAAAAATATGTGGTTGGAAATGAGTTTTGAAAGAATGTGTGTCAAATAGGAGCAAAGTGTTGTTTAATAATCCGTACCAAATGTATTTCAAATTGATTGTCGACTTGGACGCGGCTAGATGATATAATAAAAACGAGATTACCGGAAGAGTGAAGTCTTTGATTAATGATTGGTGAAATTATGATTCTTGGTGTCTATTTGCGGAAAGATTAGTGATAATGATAGTTTTGGGTTTAGAAAATTAGCTTTTAGGGTAATCTTTAAACTCTTGATTGATGAGAATCTGACTGATATCATTTATTGGCCCACATTTTTAGATTGATATTTGATACCTATCGAACTTATTTAGCCCCTGTTTGGCCCTCCATTATTTTGCATTTTTTATGGTAGAAAATTTTTGGAATAGTGATTGATGTGAGAATATGTGATGGAAAAGTAATGAAAAGTTTTACATTTGTGTGTAATATTATTTTATTTGATGAATATGTGTTTGTAATGAAAAGAGAAAAATTAAATGTAATGTAATGTAATTTAATGGGGGCCAAACATGGGCTTATTTGCTTGCTTAACCAAAATGGTGTTAATTTATTTATTAATTTCTCTCTCTTTCCCGTGAAAGTGAGGTTATTTATAACAGAATTTCTATTTTTTTTATTTTGCTTCTAGTAGAAGAGATTCATGATAAATTTATTTTAAACTAATTTTCTTTAAAACTTATTTTAATCGGACAAATTACTTCCAAAGAAGTATCTATATACGATCAAAATTAGCTTATTAGTATCATAATCAAATTTTAACTTTTCAAACTTAAGTCACACATGCCCTCAAACTAAGGATGCAAGTGGTGTAACACGATGAATGATAGTGATATGAACATTTTTATTTGAAAAGTAGTAGTTATTTTAAAGACTATGTATATTCATTTAAATTATATCTTCAACACGCTACAAGTATGCACACCTGATTTAATATATGACATCAATTTTTACAGGTGGAAAGATGTGGAGACTTGAACTCTAATTTTCCATGTGACCCTAGTTGATAATATAAATTATATAATTGAATATTGTGTTCGATATAAAATAAATCTCAATAGTTACTCATGTCACATATCGTTGACGACAACCAATGAATCACCAAGGATAAAAGTTGTCGCACAATCAGCTCCCAAATTATTAAGCTCTTGTTTGGACTCCATTTTAGCCCATGTTTGGTGGCCTTTAATTTATTTTACATTATTTCTTATACTCATTTTTGGTCATACATTCACACAATAAAACATTCTACACGTAAAATCAAATCTTTTTCTTACTTTTAACCACATATTCTCCAAAAAAATACTATTCAAACATAATTTTTTGAAAATTAAATACCATCAAATAGGGCTTAATTTGATTTTGGGAGAAAATGTATTTTAGAATAGTGATTTTTTTAGATAATGTATAGTTAAAAGATAAAGAAAATTTTTAAATTTACGTGTTATATTATTTTATAAAAGAATGAATAGTTGAAAATGAGTTTTAAAAAAATNATAAAAGAATGAATAGTTGAAAATGAGTTTTAAAAAAATGTATTTTGAAATAAAATGAAGACCGAAGAGAAACTAAGAAAATAAGTTTTTATACCATACACTAAACCGCACAAATATTGAAAACTATCAAGTATTATGTTCGATTATGTCTTGTGTAACTTAATTAGGGGTTGTTTGATTCTCATTTTTGTAGAATGAGAATGAAAAATATAGTCGTTATTCGGCCCTACACAAGATATATAAATTCAAAATTGATGACTTGATGTGATGGATAACAATCATATTTTTTATTTTTATGGATGAAAAATGAGAAATAAACGGAGGCTAAAGGTTACAATGTTAGGTTCACCTTTATTTTTACCTTCTCAAATTGTCACAATTTCATGTATTAAGGTTAGAGACATGAGTTCGGGGAGATGACGCTTCAACAAAATTAAGGATTTGTTTGAGCTCCATTTTACTGAGTACTTTTGCATATAACCGAAAAACCCGGCTTCATTCACTTGAATTCGGTGCTTTTGCCTGCGACAATTTCGTAAATTGATTTAGAAATAAAATTGGCCAAACCCTATTTACCAATATGCCAAGAACTCTTCCAAAGGGAAGTAGCAATAACGAGGTGAAAGCTCCTTAAATCTGTCCTCATGCCAAACTTCCCACATTATATGCAATTTAGTTAGACCATCTGCCATCACCATAAAGGGCATTGCTTGCTTGCTTAAAACATTAATATGAAAAAGTTGTCTTCCTTGAAGTTGCTATCTTCTACACCTACTGTGTTTAATTCAAGTATTAAAATTTATGGTCGTGCTATATGTACATTATAGCTTACAAATTTATTTAACAACAGATGATGTGACGAGATTTGATCGACCCATTTTCTTTTTTTTAATTCCTCATTACATAAGCACAATCGTTTAAGTTGCGAAGAAATTTTGATAATTTTAATTTAATTTATTGTCACCCATCAATCTGTGAAAGAATCCGTCAGTGTTGATGTACAACAAATATTCTCCTAAAGTTTATTATCAGAGGTTTAAACACTAACCAATTATCCTCATACACGTTTATTTATATATATATATGAGGTTTAATTGTTTAAACACGGGCCAATCTCAAATAATAGTAGCAATTTTTTATTTTTTTTGATAGAACATGTTGCCAACTGCAATGAACTTAGACATTGAAATAAAATAAAAGTATGAAACCAAGAATCCAAAATACAGACATCTCCAGCTAAGTATGAAAAGCTTCAAATGGCCCACTGCTCTAATAGCTTCATCAATGGATTCAAGTGTTTGCAATACAAAAACCACAAAAAATCTAAAATATGTCGAGCCCCATATGCCCCCACTGCCCTTACTCAACAATCAACATTGCCTCATCCAAAAGGTGCTTGTGGATTCCAACATTTTCAAGAAGATCAATATCTTCTTCATAGAGTCAATTATTTTCTCTTCGAAGATTGATTTTGTTTATTGCTGATCCTTTTTGTGTGGAAATTGCTTCGATAAGCCATCGACTAATAGAGCTTAGCCATGTGATCGACCAAAATGGTTTCGTGAAGTCAGTCACCCGATTGTATAAGATCAAACCTAACTTCGAGAAAAGGAAAGGAAGGATCTATTTAACATATTCAAACAGCCAAAATCTCAAGAAAACGAGATTTTTGTCAGAATGGAAGTATCAGATTAGACCAATAGGAGTATACGAAACATATTAATTTGTTAAGGAATTTGCTCATGTAACAAAATTCATCGATGATCTACGAAAGACAAGATTGAGCACGTTCGACCCAGCAAAAAATTGCAAACTGTGATGGAC